TATGAAAGTCATAAATGATAAGGGAAGTGGGACCATTGCCAGAGGAGGGAAAGGACCTCTCAGGAGTGTTGAAGGAAAGGGCAGGACTTCCCGCTCTGACCTGATATGGGATTTAAGCCATATGAGTTGGTCTCAGAAAGGACTATAAAGAAGAAGTGCTATTCATGCCAGAAGTAAATGAATACAGAAAGACCAAGTGCTGTTATCAGGTTTGCAAAGGAGAGGACTGGATATTTATTTGCCATATAGATAGATAGATAGATAGATAGATAGATAGATAGATAGATATAGCTTACAAATGGTCCTGATTATCAATAGGAGCTTCCTTTTTCATAAAGACTCTCAGACTCGTGTTCCCCAAGCTGTTAGAGCAGTGCATCAGGGAGCCATCCTTGAGACTTCACTTAGAAATACTTGTTAGAGCTGGGAGTGGTGGCTCATAGCTCACGCCTGTAATCCCAGCACTTTGGGAGGTCAAGGTGGGTGGATTATGTGAGGTCAGGAGTTTGAGACCAGCCTGACCAACACAGTGAAACCCCATCTCTACTAAAAATACAAAATTAGCCAGGTGTGGTGGTGCATGTCTGTAATCCCAGCTACTTGGGAGGCTAAGGCAGGAGAATCGCTTGAACCCGGGAGATGAAGTTTGCAGTGAGCCAAGATCGTACCATTGCACTCCAGCCTGGGCAACAAGAGTGAAACTGTCTTAAAAAAAGAAAAAAAAAATACTTGTTAGAAAATACTATGGTATATGGAGCCAAAAAAGAGTCCAAATAGCCAAGGCATTCTTAAGCAAAAAGAACAAAGCTGAGGGCATTATGCTACCTGACTTCAAACTACACTACAAGGATACAGTAACCAATACTGTATGGTATTAAAACAGACAAATGGATGAATGAAACAGAGAGAGAGCTGACAAATAAGTCTCCACACTTACAATCATCTGATCTTCAATAAAGTCTACAAAAATAAACAATGGGGAAAGGATTCCCTGTTCAATACGTGGTAGTAGGATAACTGGCTAACCATATGAAAAAGATTGAAACCGGACCTCTTCTTTACATCATATACAAAAATCAACTCAAGATGGATTAAAGACTTAAATGTAAAACATAAAACTATAAGAACCCTGAAAGATAACCTAGGAAATACCATTCTGGACATAAGACCTGGGAAAGATTTCATGACAAGATGCCAAAAGCAATTACAGCAAAAACAAAAATTGACAAATGGCACCTAATTAAACTAAAGAGTTTCTGCACAGCAAAAGAAACTATCAACTGAATAAACAGAATCTACAGAATGGGAGAAAATGTTTGCAAACTATGCATCCAACAAAGGTCTAATATCCAGAATCCATAAGGAACTTAAAACTATGAGCAAAAAACAACTCCATTAAAAAGTTAGCAAAGGACATGAACAGATACTTTTCAAAACAAGGCATACATATGACCAACAATCATATGAAAAAATGCTCAACATCATTTATCATTAGAGAAATGCAAATCAAAACCACAATGAGATACCATCTCACACCAGTCAGAATGGGTATTATTAAAAAGTCAAAAAATAACAGATGCTGGCGAGGTTGCCAAGAAAAAGAAATGCTTATACACTATTGGTGGGAATGTCAACTAGTTCAGCCATTGTGGAAAGCAGTGTGGTGATTCCTCAAAGAACTTAAAACAGAATTTCAGTTCTATCCAGCAATTCCATTATTGGGTATATACCCAAAGGAATATAAATCATTTTACCATAAAGACACATACACATGTATGTTCATTACAGCACTATTCACAATAGCAAAAATCTGAAATCAACATAAATGCCCATCAACAGTAGAATGAATAAAGAAAATGTGGTACATATGCACCATGGAATACTACACAGCCATATAAAAGAATGAGATCATGTCTTTTGCAGCAATGTAGACAGAGCTGGATGCCATTATCTTAAGTAAACTAATGAAGGAACCGAAAACCAAATACTACATGCTCTCATTTTTAACTGGGAGCTAAACAACAAAAACACATGGACACAAAAAGGGAAACAACAGACACCAGGACCTACTTTAGGGTAGAGGGTGAAGGGAGGCAGAAGGGAGAAGATTTAAAAACACTATCTATCAGATACTGTGCTTATTACCCAGGCGATGAAATAATCTGTGCACTAAACCCCCGTGACACACAGCTTACCTATATAACAAATTTGCACATGTATCCCTGAACCTAGAATAAAAGTTTTGAAAAAGGAAATACTATAATGAAGCTATCTAAAGAGCCCCCATAATGGATCTGAGAGATTGACACGCTCACTCAGAGTAAGAGATTTCCCCTCTCCATGACCCTGACTAGAACATTCTTGTTCAGCCCCCTTCTGGTAGGACGGACCCTAAAAGTTTGATGTTAATTGAATGCAAATGAGCATCAAGAGATCCTGGAATTCTTCCTATAACTTTGATTAGAGGGGAATTCAGTTAAACTTTGCTCCGTGCCAAGTAACAGAATGGTGAGGAAATTGCATTGTTGTTGATGCCTGTAACAGCATTACATCCCACACCCAACAATAATGGCCTGGGTTAGTGTAGACTTCCTAGTACCTTCATCTAATATCTGCTCTTTATAATCTAAAACAGTATCTATGGGAACTATTTCAAGGTTTGAATTCATAGTTCATGGAGGGGCCAAGCATTGTTAAAGAAATTATTTTATTTTGAGAGTTACAAAGAGCTGTGCAGATGTGAACACACTGTGGGAAGGCCATTGGCAGAGAAGGTGAGTGCTTTCCCATTAATAGAGAGACTTTAATGACTTGCCTTGATCATAGACCAGAACTCTTGGGTTGATGTCATTATAACTGAGCTTGCTCCAGATTTAATTCCATGGAACATTTGTAGGCCAGCTGAGGTGGAGCCATCATGGAATCTCCATACTCAGCACCTTGATGTGTCTCAAGCTGGCTCACAGTTCCTTGTGGATATGATGATTTCTACAAGAGCTCGTTCTTTTCAACCACTTCAAGAACTCACAGACTTAATGCTTCATATGCATAAGGATGTTGGGTTTTTAATTTTTATTTTTGTCATGCTCAAAAGTCATTTATTATGACCTGAGTGGCAACTCATTTCATGGTTGAGGCCAGAATTTTTTATATTCACTGCTCCTTGATTTCTGAACATCAGCAAAATGCAGAAGTGTCTTTTGAAAAACCTAACACTGTCCACTTCAAGCTTGTTTTCACCTCAGTCTAAGTTAAACCCAAACCAGCAGCAGAACTGCACGTATGCTAACATTCCCATTTGCTTTGTTACTTAAATAATGTGCAAAAAGTTTCAGATTTGTCAGATCAATTGTGTTAGTATGGATAATCTTATTAGTGATGAAATCCAGCATACATATAGCAATGGATGAGTGTGGAATTGGAAGTCCAGCAGCCCTGAGTTTGCTTCCTTCACTATTCCTTAACTCAAGCTCAGTGTGACCTTGAGTTAGCTATTTAGACCAAATATCAGTTTTCTGATCTGTAAAATAAAGATAATGATATCCTTCTGTAGGCTTGACATGAGATGTATATAATGTAACATATATGAAGCACTTAGCACAGTGCCTGACCCACAGTAAACTCAACATCTATTTGATGTTTTTGTCATTTTGGTTAATAAGGTAAAACAACAAAATCATCAACTATGAGTCACTAAATGCCATGATTTTTCACAAGATTTTTATTTGAGGGTATCTAAAGACTTTTAAAAAGTTCATCTCTTGCTTCCTTTGAAGCAGGCAGAAAAAATAGAAAGATTTGCACAATTATCTTAACCCAACCCTGTGTTATAAGTAGAGGTATGATCAAAGTATTAGGTAGAATAAATTTGCCTGTGTAATTTGGATCTGACTATGCTGTGTAAAGTCATGAATGTGAGGCTTGCAGGAACCCACTGGATCCAGAATGGCCCTGGAATTCCGCCATAAAATGAACAAAGATCTCAAGCAAAACCAGTGGGAGTCCAGGCAAAGCAGCACAGCCTGGGGGAGCAGAATTTCCTGGGCAGAGTCCCTCCCTGACCCTGGCGTCCTCCCAGGAGAGCCCCACCTCGATTAATACACATTCAAGGACTCTAAAATACTAAGCAGTTTCACTACCCACTTACTGTGCATGAGCCTTGGGTGGGGAGGCACAGAACTTTCTGGCAGGCATTTAGACCACAACAATAAAACACCTATAAACCCCTATGACGGCATAAAGAATTCATGCTGGACTTCTCCTAAAGAAGGAAGGAGCTAGCCTCCACCTATTTTGATGAATTGTATTGCAGCTGTCTCCTGACACATGAGGCCGGCAGTGGCTCTGAAATATCTTGTAGCATTTCTTGCCATTTGAAAGCGAGAATGAGTTAGATATGGTTCCGGTACTTTGAGTTCTCAGCAACGTTTTGAATGTCTCTGCTGTTGAACAATCTTATAGAGAAAAGAACTGCCCCAATCAATAACTCAAAAAATGTCCCTGGGTAAAAGGACATGTGGAATGACAGGTTATTTCAGAAAGCTCAGGGAGAGGAAGGAATCCAGTTCTTCCTGGGATTAAAGAGTTGCCTGAAGTTACTTCTGGAGCCTTTGTGCACTGAATAAGAGCCCTAATTGTGAAGTTCAAAATCTTGTTCAGGAAAGAAAATGGAAGAAAAATGGGGACGGTTGGCTCTGAAATTTCTTTTAGACAAAATCCCAGCTCTGATGAGAAGCAGCCTGCTTGTAAATCTGCCTGACAAAAGTGTGAAATGGTCCCCAGAGTGCCTATGCACATGCAGCTGCTTGTTAAAACCAGAGCATTTGCCCAACTGCATAATAGTGAGCAACACTTACAACACCAAAGCGCTGAGCTGGGCCTCCCCTGCTAACAGCCCTTGATCAATTGCAGTTTTCCTTGTTTCCCCTCGTCACCTCCTTTTTCTCCTTCCCACCCTATCCCAATCTCTTTCAAAGGGATTAATTCCTGTAACACTTCAGTAGAGAGAAAAGGGCTTTACTTGGCGGCTTTGGGTTTACAAGATCGTTGGTGAACAATCAGTCTGTCTGGCAGGAAGGTACGCCCACAAACATTACAGGGAACCAACTGGCTCTGGGCACTTGTCCAAGCAGCTTCATTTAAAGCATCAAGATCATAGAAGCCTTTGGCTGGAAAGTTAAAGGGAAAAAGCAAAAGGAAAAAAAGGGAAAAAAATACCAAAAACAAAAAGGAAAGAAAAAGGTAAAAAGGATCAGTTTTTATTCGGGAGAACCATGTTCTACTTTCTATGGAAAATATTTTCAGGAAATACCTGTTCACTGAGTATTTTAAACAAATCATATGATTTTTGCCTCCAAAAAGAAAGGGCTGCTCGCTCTTTCAAGGGTTGAGTAAAGTTAGCTGGGAATCAGACAGAGGTTTTCACTCTTTGGATTTTAAAAAGGAAAGACATTGTTTTACATGTTATGATATGCATTCTTCACTAATTATTAACATCTTTGCATATACATCATTATTTTGCAAATATAACTTTTGGCCTTCTTTCAGTTGACTCTAAATATAAGCTTACAAAGGGGAATCAGCATGTATTTGTATTTTCCTTTTCTATAATTCTTCAGTGGAATGTTTTTAGAAGCCAAGACTGACAGTTGAGAGTGAATTTAAGATGAATTGTATCTTAAAAACTTATCATCTCTTCATGGTCATAAACTCAGATATTCTTTAAGTAATCAAAGTGGAGAATGCAAACAGAATAATCTGACAAAAAGATGTGTCCTTAAGAAAATAACAAAGACAGATGAGAAATGTATAATCTTCATTGGCAGAGCATGGGGGAAAAAAAGCATATGGCTTTATTTTAGAGAAACAATGTGGGATTTAGCTTTAATAAACCTTAGTTAAAATAGAATGACTTTAGTATATTAAACTGACTATATCTTAGAACCACTGAAAATAGGCCCCCAAAATGTAACAAGGCACTCAGAAACATATTACTTAGTTTTTATCTTTGGCAAAGCATAGATTACTTCGTTAAAGCTTAGGCAATTCACATACTATTTCTATCTAATGGTTCACACAACCACAGTGAACCTTAAATTTTTTAACATATCTGCTCCTAATTCTTACTTTTCTGCTCCATGGGAATTTAAATCCCAGCAAAATCTAGTATTTCTTCTTTGGATAAAGCAAACGTCACTGTCTATGTAGGATATGAATGTGTATTTTGAGTGCTTTGAAAAATGAGAAAAGAATGATGCTGACTTTCTCGTTACTCATATGAATTTTAAAATGAATTCAAAAATTCCAGAGTAGTCATTGACTCTCACTTGAAGGTGATTCATCACATTTCTAAGTGTTTTTGCATAGGGCTTTGATTTCAGATCAGGAAGAGGGGTTGGTTGAACCCTATGACTACAATGAGTTCATGAGATAAAAATTGTAATGTGAAATAGTTTTACCTAGAGAGGAAGGGCATCTTCAGAGATAAATAACGTGGGACTGAGAGGAAGACAATGCAGTTATAGGACCTATCTTTTCCATCTGTAGGCAGTAACAGAATGGTGAACCACCAGGGCTTTCAGACTAATCGTTCCTCTTACTTCTAGCCTTCTGGTAGTTATGGTCAAGCAGAGAAAGTGACAAAGATAAGAAGGGAAGGAAACAGATTTTGACACCAAGTGAGAAATGCTGGAAAGAGAGTTTCAATGAAATAAACAACCTGTTTGTGGAAAATTCTCTAATTTCAGTAGCTGGTTGTTTTCATCTTCAGCTCTTTTCCTACCTGTATGTAAAGTCCTCTTTTTGGCAAGGACTGTGAATAGCTAGGATCTAGCAGGATCTAGAATTTATCATACAATCTAGGCTCTACTTTGTGGGTTGTTATAAAACTCTCCTTGTGTCACATCTCTGACACAAGTGCTTTGGACTAATTGACATCAAATGACCCCCCAAGGTACTTTTCAGCATTGCAAATCTATGGTTACATAGGACAACGGATAAATTGAAAGATACTCCTCTTAAAACCAACATTGTCCTATGAGATGGTTTAGGGGATCTACTGAGAAAATGACAATGGTAAAAATATGATAAGTCTGAGCTTGCATGGCAAAAATATTTTCTTAACTATTCTCATACCCTAAATGAATAAGCATAAGGCTTTGTGATGAGGCCAAACATGGCAATGTAGTTTCAGTTTCATTTGGTTTGCACCAGGCTTTACAAATGATTAAATGCAAAAAATTCTGGAAACTTAAAATAGATGTCTGGATTTCTAGTTTGTTTTGTGTTATTGAAAGATATGAGTACACTGGACTAAATTTCTTAATGATAACACCAGCTGGAACTGGGCAGCGGCCTGTCTCCTTTAGAGTGATCTGATGCTCCACACCTCATCGTAGTCCTTACTTCCCCTTTGCTGTACACACAGACCAGTTTACTCAATGTCATAACCTGACTAGTGGACCTGGTGAAAATTCAAGTTTGGTACCCCTGCTCTGTGAACACCAAGACACATTCATATTTGGAAACATGACTTCGGATGTTCCCAAAGGTTTTTTTTAAGTTTCATATTTTTTTAAGTTTTATTTATTTTTATTTTTAAAATATTTTATTATTTATTTTACACTCAAAGGGTTTGATGATATATGAAGGAAACTTTTGGGAAATAGAGCAAATTCCTATAGGTCTCTCTCATGCACAGTGTTGCCAGGACATAGTGTCTTTATGTCTCAGCATTGGAAGATAATACTTTGGATAGGCATTCCAGAACTGTTTTTCTTATTTGTCTTTAACCAAAGCAGGAAATGTTGCTGATTTTGGTCGTTTGAACAAGTAAAAAAAAGAAAATACTTCTGCTCTTATTAGTTTACAGAGAAAAGTCTCCCCTTATACACTCAAATCTTTTTTTCTAGGAACTTACCAGTAATGGTCCTGACTTCTGGTTTTTTAGGTACTGGTCTCCTTAACTCTTTAGGCAACAAGTTGTTTTCATTATGCCATTTTTTCAGACATTGTGGCTCATGAATGCTAATAGATTTTGTTCCATATTCACGACCACAAATGTAGCAAACAACTGTTGGTGGACGCCGTATCATTGCTGGCTGTAAGTAACATAAAATAAATTATGAGTGAACTCCCATTTACAATTGCTACAAAGAGAATAAAATACCTAGGAATACAACTTACAAGGGATGTGAAGGGCTTCTTCAAGGAGAACTACAAACCACTGCTCAGGGAAATAAGAGATGACACAAACAAATGGAAAAACATTCCATGCTCATGGATAGGAAGAATCAGTATCGTCAAAACGGCCATACTGCCCAAAGTAATTTATAGATTCAATGCTATCCCCATCAAGCTACCATTGACTTTCCTCACAGAATTAGAAAAAACTACTTTATATTTTATACTGAACCAAAAAAGAGCTCATATAACTAAGACAATCCTAAGCAAAAAGAAGAACAAAACTGGAAGCAGCATGCCACCTGTCTTCAAGATTACAGTAACCAAAACAGCATGGTACTGGTACCAAAACAGCTGTATAGACCAATGGAACAGAACAGAGGCCTCAGAAATAATGCCATACATCTACAACCATCTGATCTTTGACAAACCTGACAAAAACAAGAAATGTGGAAAGGATTCCCTATTCAAGAAATGGTATTGGGAAAACTGGCTATCCATATGCAGAAAACTGAAACTGGACCCCTTCCTTACACCTTATACAAAAATTAATTCAAGATGGATTAAAGACTTAAACGTCAGACCTAAAACCATAAAAACTCTAGAAGAAAACCTAGGCAACACCATTCAGGACATAGGCATGAGCAAAGACTTCAGGACTAAAACACCAAAAGCAATGGCAACAAAAGCCAAAATTGACAAATGGGATATAATTAAACTAAAGAGCTTCTGTCCAGCAAAAGAAACTATCATCAGAGTGAACAGGCAACCTACAGAATGGGAGGAAATTTTTGTAATCTGTCTATCTGACAACGGGCTAATATCCAGAATCTACAAGGAACCTAAACAAATTTACAAGAAAAAAACAAGCAAATTTACAAGAAAAAAACAAACAACCCCATCAAAAAGTGGGCAAGGGATATGAATAGACATTTCTCAAAAGAAGACATTTACGCAGCCCAAAAACGTGAAAAAAGTTCATCATCACTGGTCATTAGATAAATGCAAATCTAAACCACAATGAGATACTATCTCGTGGCAGTTAGAATGGTGATCATTAAAAAGTCAGGAAACAACAGATGCTGGAGAGGATGTGGAGAGTGTAAATTAGTTCAACCATTGTGGAAGACAGTGTGGCGATTCTTCAAGGATCTAGAACCAGAAATACCATTTACTCAGCAACCCCATTACTGGGTATATACCCAAAGGATTATAAATCATTCTATGATAAAGACACATGCACATGTATGCTTATTGCAGCAATATGCACAATAGCAAAGACTTGGAACCAACCCAGATGCCCATCAATGATAGACTAGATTAAGAAAATGTGGCACATATACACCATGGAATACTATACAACCTTAAAAAGGATAAGTTCATGTCCTTTGCAAGGGCATGGATAAAGCTGGAAACCATCATTGTCAGCAAACTAACACAGGAACAGAAAACCAAACACCCCCTGTTATCACTCATAAGTGGGAGTTGAACAATGAGAACACATGGATATAGGGAGGGGAGCATCACATGCTGGGACCTATTGGGGATGGGGGGCTAGAAATACCTAATGTAGTTAACGGGTTGATAGGTGCAGCAAACCACCATGGTACGTGTATACCTATGTAACAAACCTGCACATTCTGCACATGTATCCCAGAACTTGAAGTATAATTAAAAAAAAAAAAAAAAAAGAAAAAATAATCTGTTAGATAAAGTTTAGATTTGGAAATCATAGTTTAAAATTATATCACATTTAAGTTAACTGGAAAATCAATGTGATTAAAAAAAATCCCCACTAGTCAGGTGATGTTATCTTTTTGGCAATTAAAAGATTAAACTATATTATTTGAGTACTTGGGATTGGGGTGAGGACATGGGCTTCGGAGGAAATAAAAAAGAGCTAACCAGAATTCTTCATATTGATACTATATAAATTATATTTTCTCATTTAATAAATATTGATCGATTGCCTTCTGACTATTATATCCAAGTTACTATGCTGGGAGAATACAAAGATAAATCAGGCATAACTACTCTTCTCAATAACACCAGGCTCTAGTACACCCGTATATCTGAGAGGAAAAGTAATAAATGTCAGTGGAAAGTTTATAACAGACATTGTTAACACTATTATGCCTGCCCACATTGGGATCATGTCAACAACTTTCTACTGCAAGCACTTGTGATTCTTTGCTTTTTTGATCGGGAGGAGGCTCTGCCCACAGCAGAGCAGCTCATCAATTGCAAATGAGACTCAGCGAATACATATCCAGCTTCCTCACCAAGGTTGATTCCGTATAGTCTTCCAGAAGTCCCCAGAGTGACTGGACCACAGTCACTTGTTAACACACTAGCTGGGCTTTGTTCTCTTCACTGTCTCCCTTCCTATTCCTTTACTGGGGTATCCTGAGATCACCTCCCAAATAAACTACTTGAACTCAAATTCTTAGTTTTCTTGTTCTTAGGAAGAACCAAATCTACGGGAGAGTTAAGGATAAGATGCAATAGGGAAATTCAGTTTCTGTCTAGGATATAGAAAAGCACAAGAATCATTGCTTCCACCTAAACAATGAGAACAAATTGAATAGCTTACAGAATCATAATTTTTGAGTCCATTGGAGACTCAAAGTTGCAAGATAAATAGATGAACTAAAAGGCCTACCTAAGTTTGAAGATAGATCAATAGTACCAAGAAAAAGCCTCCAAGCTCCAAACTTTACATGAGACATAATTGTCTGCCACAAGAAAAGGGCAGAGTAGCTGAGTGTAAGCACCTCTAAGGGGCAGGCATGCAGGGACCATCTGTGTATACTCTCCTACCCACCAAGTCTTACACCCAGTGATAGGAAGTAACAATCTGACATTGCAGAGAGGACTGGGCATTGACAGAAGCCTCTACCATTTTAGGAACACAGGGCCTGTCTAAATCTGAGGATAGAGCTATAGAAAAGCATTGCACAGAGTACAAATAAAATTTATAAATCCAAAAAGGTAATTTAGGGAAGGAGAAAAACATTGATTTTGTTCTGGATCTGTTGAGTTTGACTTAATTGTAGAATTTAAATAAACAAATCCAGCCAAAACAGGAAATACAGGCCTGCAAATTCAGTATTCATTTATTTCAGAGCTATTCACACAGAAAAAAAAAAATGTTTAAAACCATGTAAATTCTATAAATAGGAGTATGTAAAGAATATATGGAGAAAAATTATTGGGAGAATATTTATAGTAGGGATATTGGACAAGGGAAATTATAGCCAGAAAACACAGAGAAAGGTTCAAATTTGCAGTTAAAGAAACAGGACATGCAGACAAAAGATTCCATTCAGAATTCTGGAAACATTTCTGTTTTTCAGAAATATGGTATCATCAACCCTGTCAGATGCTGCAAAGAGTAATGAGGGGCTGAGAAAAGGCTATTAGATGGAGTTATCAGTGGATTCCATAGCAGGGACTTTGAGAGATTAGTTCCAAAGGAGTGGTAATGGTAAAGGCTAAATTGTTAGGAGTTAAAAATTATGTCAAGGAGGAGAACAACACACTTTCAAAAAACTTGCAGAAAAGAAACTTGAGAGATAAGCAAAGTAGAAGAAAGGTTTGTTTTGTTGTTGTTTATAGGATAGGGATGCCTTAGGTAGAGAGGAAAAGATTATAGGTCCCCAATGAAATGGGATAATTAAAAATCACAGAGGAGGCAGTAGAAGATGAGATTAAGGGCATAATTGGAGGTGTTAGCCTCTGAGAAAAGGGAAAAAAGGAAAGCTAGAGAAAGGGAAAAGGTGTTTGCAGAGAAGTGAGGAATTGGTGGAGCTCACATACGTGGACTTAGTCTTCTAAGTATGAGGCAAAGTGATCTTCAGAGAATGAAGAGATTTGAATTCCGGGAAATAGAATAGTGAAAGATGCTGGGATTATGCACTCTAGGGAATGTAGTAATGATTCAATTAGGGAAGAATATTCACTGAATAATGGAAAAGACCTAGTTACCTGAAGCTGCAAGAAATTTTGTTGGAATTAAATGACTTTTTTTCAATATGCTCTTTAGTAGCACCAGGTGGCATGAAAACAGAAACAAATTAGGCTGATTGTGTGGTCTCCTCTGGGGAAATAAAACTAGGTAGATATATATGTCTTATAATCAGCCTACTTTAACTATAACTATTGGGACTTTCACCTTGCACAGAGCAATATCAAAACCAGAAGGAAACACATTTATGATTTCTGCTTACCAGACATAAAAAGAGATGTTAGGTGAATAAATCCACAGTTACATAGACCAAGCAAAAAGGGAAAATAAAATGACTCCCTGGATGATTGAAGTTTTTATAAAAAGAGTATTATTTGAAGTGGAATATTTTATTCTATTATTCTATATTAACTTATGCCAATAAACTGTCTACATTTATCAAAATAACTAAACAGTTGTTTATCCTTCTTTTCTTAGCCATATGGTGGGTTCTAACAATTGAAAAGTGACATTAAAAATATTTGAGAAATTCAAGAAAGACCTAACAGAAAGTACAAAGCATAAGCAAAAATTTTCAAGACATTTAAATGTTTCTTACTATTTTTTTTACATGTTTATTTACTGGAAAGGTTAATTAAATGCAGATTTTTAGTTTAAAATGAGAAGTTATTCTTTTTACTTTGAAAATAGTGAATTTAATAAAATTCCACATGGAAAGTATGAGCCAAATCCAGTATTTAACCAAGCATATAAGCAAAATAAATGGCATGGGTCATAAATGAAGACATTTGTGTCACCCTGTCAGAAGATTTCCTTTGGAAGGAAAGTTAGAAGAAAACAGGCAGACACAGAGGTCAGAAGACATCTACCAAACAACTGAAAGGGATGTGGGAGAAAATTAATACCATAAAAAGACGAAGATGGTCTATATTATATTTTCTAAAGCTTGTC